AGCTATTAAAGATTGCAGTTTGGTTTCTCTCTCTTTTTTTTTAATGTTCTCTTATATTAAAAGAGCTTGGGGTATCCCTCTGGAAGAAGTTCCAAGTGTTTCTTCCTGGAATCAAAAAGAAATAGGTTTTTTACTTGGTGGTGGCAGGAAGCTTTTAAACAGAAGCCCATAGTGGCAAGGTATTTTAAGTTCTGGTGGCAAGGTATTTTAAGGTCTCTTGCAGCCTTGCAGCCTCCCACCTTCTGCACTTGGGAGTGCCAGCTGGGGGAATAGCCTTGACTCATTATTCTTGAAGTGTATTTTACAACATTCCCACCTTCTGCACTTGGGAGTGCCAGTTGGGGGAATAGCCTTGACACATTATTCTTGAAGTGTATTTTATAACACAGAGATGATATGGCCTAATGTGAAATAGCTCTAACTAAGCAAACAAGTGCGCTGCTGAGCCATCTCACAATGGGACACATCACACTCCTTTTAGGACATGCTAGTTTGGTGCTATAATCTACGTGTACAGGAGGGGACATGTTCTTTGAGACTGGGTTTGGGGCACATTTGACACTGGAAAAAAGATTCAGCAAGAAACATCATGTCAGACTTTGCTGTCTCAATGCTCCAAATCCATCAACAACCAATGGACTGACAGGAGTTACGCAGCCCAAAACAGCTTTAAGCGACAAATCCGGACATTTTATTTAAATATCCACTCTGCTTCTGGTAATAAGAACACATCCCAAATTAGTTAACCAAGCTGCCAAAGCCCAAGTATGTTGTTACAGGTTATTGAAATGCTGACGTTGGCAATGCCAAAGCACCCACTTTTTGGAAACCACTTACAGCTGTAAGTTGAACGTACATCCCAGTCACATTGCACTACTCGTTTTTGCAACAAGAAAAAAGGGAAGGGAAGAATTACCCAATAGTTATTTTTTCTAATCTGCAAACAGAAATGCAAAAGAAATGATGAGTGTGACGGGAAGAAGCATGTGGCTTATTGGAGTGTCCTCATAATACCTCTTGCAGCAGACACGATGAAGAACTGACGGATTTACTGAAACCCAATTTAGGGAGAGTCTATTTTACTTAAGACAGCGTTTAAATGCACAGAACCAAGTTAATCTTTGGTGTCAGTTCATGTATAATACTAGGGAACAGAGATAGGACCACCCCTGAGCATTCCAAACTACAGGAGTGGGTTTTGCCCACAAAAAACTCACGATACTGTATCTACATGTATTTGTTAGTCTTTAACCTCTAGTCTACCCTACAGGATAAGTTTGAATTAAGATACGCAACTTCTGCTACATTAATTGCGTACTTAAGTCAAAGAATCTTAACTCGAATTTTGATGCCATCCACATTGCAGGAAGTCAAAGGGAGCACACTCTCTCTTTGACTGCCCTTGCTTCTCATAGAAGCAGGACTATAGGCATCGATGGGAACACAATCTCAGTTTGAATTAGCATGTCTTCACTAGACCCGATAATTTGAACCCTGGAGGACTGACTGTTGCTGCTTTGATCTTATCTGTAGTGCAGACATGGCCTAAGGTGATACAGGACTACTCGTTTTTAAAGTTACAGACTAGCATGGCTAGTCCCTCTGAGGCAATGGAGACACATTTTTCTTCACCTAATGGAGGTCTATTAAAATTTTCATTGCTAATTCACTGAGACTAAATATGATAAACTTCAGTCAAATGTTATTCCACAAAAGAACCTTCTTATTTGAACACCTTTGTAATTTGAGGCATAAATAAACTCTACAGTATTTTTTTTTTACTACATCTTGTTTAAAGATCGTGGCTATTTCACACCCTAGACATAGGGTTGATTATTACTGGTATGTAAAGGACAGTGAAAGAAAACAATGTGGACAATTCCAATATTCTGAGGAACACAGATGCTATTTTATGTGCAGGAATGTTCAAATTAAAAAAAAAAATCATTACAGACTAACGAAAGAAGTGGCTAAAAACTGGAGAGGGGAGAAATACCAGGCTTCATTTTTGCAGTACCCTTGGCAATAAAGGACAGAGAAAATAAGACAGGGCAAGCTTTGCAAAGTACATTTCAGTAAGCCCAAGCATCATCTTCAGTGTCCTATAGTGGCCCATCTATGTGGTCATTAAACAGATCTATGAACCAAGCACGGAGGCTAGGAGTGTGTGGCCAACATGAATTTGTGCCAATGGGGGAGAGCACATTTTTCCTCACTCAAAAGACAATACACAGACCTCCCAAGTCTCACTTCTCTGAATTGGAAGCTGTCTCGGTGAAGGGTTTTGCTCTGTGTTTGAATGAGGCATGCAAAATGTCACCTTTTAAAAACATTAAAAATCCCTCAATCTGAATGGCATAGATTGACAGACTTGTATAATTGTCTTATTTTGGATTGAAATGTTATGATAGAGCACGAACTTGGAAGGCCTAAGAAAATATTCCTTAGTAGGATGATCAGGGTATGTTATTTACAGCACAAATATTTTGCTGGCGTACATGTTTTGAAATGCAATAATATGCCCGGTATTCAGATATATTTTTGACGGTGTTCAATTTAATCTGATCTTTAGGATGACTTATTACTATAACTCCCATTTGAAGTAAATGGCTCTCAGCCTGTCGTAGGCTCAAACCTCAGGTGTTGCACTTCTAAAACATTTCTTTAAGATGGAACTTCAAAGTAAGTAAGTAGGTGACTAGATATGCAACTATTAAAACACATCAGCCATTAAAAGCCACCAAACAATTTTGATTTTGCGATCACTTCAGTATGATGTTTGCATTCTTACAGACTAATATAGGGTTTTTTAAGATTACTGCATAAAAATTGCAGCAGTCGTAGCTTTTCAGCAAGAAGCATCTCTGACCAAGCCATTGAGAGCACAAGACAGATATATGTTCTAATTGCAATGATTTGCCTTTGCAGAAAATTGCTGTACTGAGTCACAAACAACACTTTTCAATGCCATCAACTGTGAAATTTGATGGCGATCTTGCTACAAGTTACTGTGGCAACCAAAATAACCGCAAAAGCAGATGCCAAATAAACTAAAACACTCAAGGGTTCAGCAAAGATGGGTAAAGCTATACTTTAATTGTGAAAACTATAGTAACTATTACCCATTTTGTCGATACTTCATTTTGTACAGCATCTTTCTGACATAATGCACGAGAAAACAACTTTCAGGGTCACATGCAATGGGATGGTTGAGCAAAGAAAAGCAAAAAAACCTCTCTCAGAAATAAAAGCTCAATTGACCAAAGAGATATTTTCTTCAGCTGGGATTTGAAGAGGGGTGGAAGAGAGGCAGAGGTAGATCACTTCAAATGACAGAAGTCACAGCAAAGATTCTCACACCAATACCAAGAAGAAGATAGTCACCCTTTTTTAACCCAATATTAGCCAATAATCAGAGCCATGCTGGGATGTTCCCGTTAGGAAGAGAAATTAATCATATGAAACAGGAATTTCCTTGGTGCAATCCTGTTAAGAATGTACACAAAGTCCTGTTTCCCTGAACACTAATTGAACAAACAGCAGACAGTTTTCTTGGTCTTAATTTCCAAAGCTGCTTTTTCAGACAGTTAACTATTCCCCCAGGACTTTGTCTCTGCTCTCTCATACAGGCTGACAAATACTACTCTGGCTTTCTGCCTCTAATACCAGCATTTGCAATCAATGACAGGGAAAAAGAATTTATCTGTTCCATACCTGCTGTTTTTCGAGAGGTGTTGATCATGTCCATTCCAAGTTAGTGCATGTGGCGAGCACACATTCCTGGTGCAGGAAGTTTTTCCCTTATCAGGATCCATAGAGGACCAGCTCCAGTGCCCTTCCGGTGCAATATATAGGGTGCTGCAGACTCCCTCCACCCTTAATTCCTTCTTGATGGAAACTCTGACAGTGCCTCTTCTCCCACCCCAGGCCACACCTCTTCCTGCCCTTATTCTACCCCTCCATGCTTCCCCACTATTCCTCTTCCCCAAAGCAACATTGCCTGGAGGACTAGCAAGGAGCCTGTTGCCAGCAGCAGGGTCACACCCCCCTGCACACAGCAGTGTGTGTGTGGGGGGGAGGGAAGCAGAGTGACCCAGCTGCAGCCTCCTTCGCTTCAATGGTTCCCCACCATGTTGCTCTGCTTCCTACCAGCAATGAACGAGGGGGAGCAATCCCTGTTGCTAGCACCAGGCCCCCTCTAGTCCCTACTGCCTTGGACAGTGGCTTCTAGTATTTCAGCCACCTCATTCCATCAAGAAACTCAATTACTTCTTCCATTAAACCCAAGAGAAGGATGACTAGCTCAAGATCTATGCTTGCCAGTATGACAAAGCCATGCTTATTTGTAGCCATAAACACCTTCTAGCATTCGGGGGTAGCCAATTTAGTCTGTAACAGGATAAACTTAAAAAACAAACAACAGTCTGGTAGCAATTTAAAGCCTAACAAAACATGTAGATGGTATTCTGAGCTTTTGTGGGCACAGCCCACTTCTTCAGATGACCAGAGTGTTGTATGTCCAGAGCTAAAATAAATAGGGGAGAAGGGAGGGGGATGGAGGAAAGAAGGAAAAAAATGGGAAAGGGGGACGACGACAAGAAGAGGTAGTGGGTATAAAAATATCAAGGGGAAAGCTGAGCTGGAATATAACAGGAAAAACAAAATCTATAAGCACCTAAAGACTGGATAGTCGAAAGAGGCAGAAAAGAACCATTAGTAGGCAAGAGAAGAGCATACACAGGGAAAGCACCAGAGAGGCAGACTGAGGCTACGTCTAGACTACATCCCTTTTTCGCAAAAGGGATGTAAATTAGACGTATTGCAATTGCTAATGAAGTGGGGATTTAAATCTCCCCCGCTTCATTTGCATAAAAATAGCTGCTGCTTTTTTTCGGCATGGAGCTTTGCCGGAGAAAAGCACCAGTCAGAAGCCAGTTACCTACTATGAATTGCAAGTCTACTTTCTAATGCAAAAATTGAAAAGGAGACTTCCACCAACATAAACACAGAGATGGTCATATTTTATTTTGAACAAATATTACATACAAAACCCACAAATTCTAAAGTTAAGAATGTTTTAGAGGCCATATCCCGGGAGAGAACCAGGGTCAGGGGGAGGAACGAACGTGAACACACAATGACTTAAACCTGTCCTCTGTATGCCCACTGTTCCCCATACAGTTTTGGTACATAGCTTGACCCCCTGAACTAAATTTGGCTTCTGGAGCTCAATGACTGGAAAAGGTCGTACGTTTTGAAACTGCATCCAAAGATCAGTATGGTACAGCAGCATGTTTGTCTCTACCTCTGGCCATAGTTTCTTTTCCTTGCTATGTTGACAGGAGGAAGAACAAGTGACATAAAGCCCCTACTTTGGCTTTATACCATCACAAAATCATCCTTAAACTCTGCAGATCCTCCCCAGGCTGTCTAACTGCCAAGAGGGTCAAATATCACATGAGGTTTGGCACACTACGGCCACGTGGTACCATAAAATCTGGCCCCATATCAGGAAAATAATCAATGAATTATGACTATTTCTATCTACTGTACATACTTTGTATAAAAACTTATTTGCACTGAAGATCTCAGAGGTGGTGCATCATTTCCACAAAGAACACTTTGTAAAGGAATGTTTAGGACAAAACACTCACTCCTTTAGCAAGTGCACTTTGAGAAATTTGCCCACATACTGAATACAGGAGAAACTAGGGTCTCTGACAAGAAAACAGTGGGAAGTTACCAATTTTGTTTTAGCTCTGCTTGAATGCAAAGGCTGACAATTTGATATTTGTAGAGGGCTCTAACAACTTCTGTTTTTTGGACAAACTGGAGTCCTTTGATTTTTCTTCCCGTCTCTCTGTCCCTTCATTCTTTGCATCAGCCAGGCGCTTCCGCTTCTTTGCTTCAGCTGAATTACCAGCCGCTCCTCCTTTGGCTTTCTCTGTCCAGACCTTAAAAAAACAGGTTCATGTTACAAACTAAAATCAAAACGTAATATAGTGAATTCCACTGTCCTACACACAGGTGCCCACTTTGAAAAATGCCGGGGGGGGTGTTTGACCCCCCAGATCTGCCCCAGGATCCTCCCCCACTCCACCCCTTCTCTCAAAGCCCTATTCCCATCCTGATTCTTCCTGCCCCTGATCCGCCCCCACCCCGCCTCTTCCTGCCCAGTTTTGCCCCCTTCCTGAACATGCTGTATCATCAATCCTCCCCTGTCCCCACCCCAGTCCCAAATGCCACAAAATAGCTCATTGGGGTAGGCAGGAGGATCACTGAGGGAGACAATGATTCAGAAGAAGAAATAAACAATTTATAAAGATCTGGCTGATAATTAAAGCATACATTTTGGGGTTTGGCATGGTATAGTATTTTGAATACAGATGGAAAACACCAGTGTTTAAGGAAATTTCAAAACAGGAGTTTCCACAGGATTCAGTGGTAAAAGAGAAACAATTCTATAAAAGATAATGTAACAGAGCTTTCTTACCATCCTTTCATCAGCTGTCAGCGCTCTAAATCGACTCATGCCTTCTTTTATTATGTCTGCTTCCTCCAAATCAGGATTATCTGCCAAAATGCTCTCTCTGTTTTCTTCTAGCCACATTTGGAATCCTGTCTTTGGTCTAAAATAGTTACAAAAATAATATCCAGTGTATGAAGCCTATAGAACAATTTTACAAAAATAGCATTTGCAACAAGAACGGATTGGAGTGTTTTTCATTGTTACAAAGTTCCTTTCTAGAAAAGCAAGCCTGCAGTTCCCATTATCTATTCAGCCCAGTGCACCAGCATGCTGCAGCAACAGGTCAAGTCAGTACTCTTTCAAAAATAGAAGTCTTTACAGCCCAGTGCACCAGCATGCTGCAGCATCAGATCAAGTCAGTACGCTTTCAAAAATAGAAGTCTTTACTTAAAAATGACTGATGGTTCTCTGCTATAAAGTTCTCTTTTCAAATTGAACACTTCCATGTAAGTTGCCTATGAATCTGGAACCTCTGATGAAGCTTTTAGGTTTTGATTTTAGATGCCAGGGAATGTATCAAATATAAATACTTCTAATATTTTGATCTAGCATAGCCACGTGGCTTAATCTATTGTTCAACAATCCATATAAGATGCATAAAGAATAACTACACAGAAATCATGACTTAGGGCCTAAAACTTACATTACACACCATACAGACTATTGCCACCTAGGAATGCACCTATCTCAGAATGACACAATATTTGAGTTGAATGAATTTTCTATAACTATTGGGAGACATGCAGTATTCTGTGCTTTCATTGTAATTTCCTAACAATCACGACACATTTTATGGAGACACAAATCTGTGCTTTCATTGTAATTTCCTAACAATCAAGACACATTTTATGTAGAGACAATTTTGACAACACACTTAATATACATAGTAACCAGCTAAGATCCGGAAGGTGACTTCACAACTATGAAAACTTAATTCCAGTGTATGAAGTCTATAGAAAAACTTCTTATTGTGATTTTATAGAGCTTTGCCTCATTCCAATGCCAGGAGAAATCACTCATTCCTACAAACTTTATATGTAAAGACTCTCTCTAGAGGTGAGGCCACTAAGAAGATGAATACAATGGATATGGTGACACATCACTTGTATTCCGCATGTTCCAGAAATGTTCAAACCAAATTTTAGAAAAAGATGACATTTCTAGGGTATGCCAACATTGTATCATGGGGTATGAATGGCAGCTCATGCAGGGATACCTGTGCTAGCTTTCATCTAGCTAACTCGTTAAAAAGAGAAACAAGGACATTGCAGCACAGGCTTGAGTATGGGCGAAAAGTCACCAGGCTTTGCCTGGTATGTCCTCACTTGTGCTGCTGAAGCCCATTGCCACAGCATCTTCACTCTTCTTTTCAGCAAACTACCTGGAGTACAGCTAGTATGGGTACAGGTCTACTTTCACACCGCCAGTTGTAATGAGGACATACCCACCGATGAGCCAGAGAGCTAAAGCATTAAAAAACACTATTGCACAGGTGATGAAAATGAAGTAGAGACAGTTAAGAGCTAAAGCATTAAAAAACACTATTGCACAGGTAATGAAAATGAAGTAGAGACAGTTGAGTCGGATATTAGAAATGCAGACATTTCTGAAACTATGTCAAATGTATACATCAAAATTAAAATTGATTTAAGTGAAAAACAAAATCCCTTGTATTCCCCCACCTTCTGTTTTCAGTGTTTTCAGCAGCAGCAGCTTGGCTTTCAGGCAACACATTCTCAGCTTTTTCTTCTTTTTTCAGCAGCAGCAGCTTGGCTTTCAGGCAACACATTTTCAGCTTTTTCTTCTTTCTCTTCTACTGTTTTGTCACCAGAGTGGGGTGGACGGGCCTGGAAAAATGTGGCTGCTAAAGCCTATAAAAATTATAAAGATTTAGAAAAATCCATTACTGATATTTACACATCGTGAATACATGTCTACATCTGACAATACAAACCACATCATCCCAAAGAAAAGCATTTTACAGAGGGTTTATATTGTTAAACTGACAGTTTAAAATCTTGAGAGTGTATGTATATTTTATTAATAATCTTATTAAACAGAAAATAAAAATATTAAATACATACTGAAGTCACTGCATGAATATGCTTTCTATAGATTTTTAGTCTGCACATAGCATAATTCAGGAGTTGGTAACCTGCAGTTCTTTGTCTGCCTCCTATAGCTCTTTGGGGATTCTCCCAGTTGATCACCATCTCCTACCCCAGCTCCACACTGCTCCCTGAAGCGGCCCATACAGTTCCATATGGCAGGAGGTGTTCTCCGCATGTTGGTCCTACCTGCCAGCACTCCCCCCGCAGCTCCAATTGGGCAGGAACGAGGAACTGAGGGAGTGGTACTGGCAGACAGGGGAAGTGCAAGGAGACACATGCCCTCCGCTACTCTACCGAGCCACAGGGACGCAGTGGCCCCTTCTGGGAGCGGCATGGGGCCAGGGGAGGCTGGAAGCCTTGCTGCCAAATGGGAGCCACGGCTGGTAAGTGGCACCTGATGGGACTCTGCACCCTAACCCCCAGCTCCTTCCTGGAGCCAACACCTCATGCCGCCTCCTGCACCTCAAGTCCCAGCCCTGAACCCCCCCTCAGAGCCAGCACCCCATGCTCCTCCTGAACCCCAACTCCCAGCCCTGAACCCACCCTCTCAGAGCCAGCACCCCATGCTCCTCCTGCACCCCAGTACTCTGCCCCATCCAGGAGCCCACTCCTGCCCCCAAACTCCATCTCAGAGCCTGCACCCTCACCACCTCTTGCACTCTAACTCCTTGTCTTGAACCCCCTTCCCAGAGCAACCTTCTAAAGATGTCCCACAGTAGAAGTCACATTAAAAGTATGGGGAGTAGTCGTAACTTTAATATAGTCAACTATTAATGGTTGATACGTTTTAACTTTATTCAAACCAATTTTAAGTATAATTTAACACAGAAAACAAGCAATTACAGATGTGAAATCCTAATATCGAGCTAGGCTGGAGCACACCTGCCACCTCCCCCCCACACACCCACCCACCATGGGCAGTGGCTGCTCTCGCTGGGATAGAGTGTATCTGCCCACGGTGCTTCTGGGCCAGGCCTGCTGCAGATGGGAGCTGCTCCAGCCAGGCTGGAGTGCCTCCCACTGACAGTGGGTCCCATGGGGCTGAAGCAATTTTTTGTTCATAGGGGGCTGCTCCAGCCCCCATTGATTAACCATAATCAGTAAGCCTCACTCATTAAAGGGGTGGTTAACCATTCACCATCCTATAAGCAATCCATTAAATATGACCATGTCTTATGCTTATAAGAAGCACATGGGATCTTTTTAAGGTAAAAGGCAATATGTGCAGCATTTATTACAAATGGGTCACAATATAATGTCTTGGCAGCAACAAATGTACAACCAAACTATACTGTTAATGAATAACCTAGGGCAAAACTCCCTCTAAACAGTGTAGCTGCATGACTGTGCAGCTATTTTCAGAGCCCCGCTCAGAGGTTCAAAAGGTCCCTGTGGAGGCAGGGAGCTCAGATGACCAGCAGGGGGCAGGGCAGCTGTAAATAGCAGCGGAATGCTGTCACATGCTGAACTGAAGAGCTCCCAGAGCAGAAAAGCAGCCAAGGTAAGGAAACAATAAGTGTTGTGGGGGAAAGTCAGAGGGGAGGGGAGTTTGGAGAGTCCTGTCTGCTGGAAGAGAGAGAGGCAGAAACCCAGCAACCCCCTATGGACAAGAAGCTGCTTCAGCCCCATGGGACCCACCACTGGTGGGAGGCACTCCAGCCTGGCTAGAGCAACCCCCATCCACAGCAGACCTGGCCCCGAAGTACTGTGGGCGGGTACAGCCACTGCCCATGGTGAGTGGGGCAGGGGAGGTATGTGTGTGGGGGGGTGCTCCAGTCTGGATAGATTTTAGGATTTCCCTAATTGCTTGAGAAGGGGGAAGTAAGGGGATGACTGCATGGGGTAGATGGGGGGAAAAAAAAGGGGTGGGGGGCTGGTATCTGTGCAGTGGGGTGGAGGTAGGGGGCAGTTTGTTTGGGGTGTCCTGACTCACTTGCTACAGTCGTCTCTGTTAGGCTGGGGGGGAGAGAAGGCTGGAGGGGGTGAGGTGTGTGTGTGCATGTGCGCGCAACACTAGGAGGACATTTGCATTTCATTTCAAACAGCGTTTACATAGGTGTTAATGGCTTAAGACAAGAAGGAAAAAGATTCTTTTAGCAGAATATTTTTTGGAGTGTTGCAGATATTAAACTCTCAGGTTCTTGATGTTTTTTTGTAATCCTGTGTTACTAATACATACATAGTAAATTGTATTGCATTAAGGCCAGATCTTTGCTATGGGGTAGAGTTCTGGCTCTTAAGAGTCAGAAGTAGCAAGTACTAGGTAGGATGCTAGTTTTGTAGGATGGAACACTGAACAAGAGGGAAAAAACTTAATAGACAGTTTATACCATCAGCTCTTTTGTTTATTTAAATCAAAATTCATTTGTCATCTGCTATCTTTGTGTATGTGGACAAGTTGTTTTGCGTGTGATGGTCCTCAAAATATTTAAGTCAAAGACAAAAAACAAACAAAAAGGCTTTTCTACTTTGAAAGGCTGCTAACCTCTGATACAGTTTTACACATTTTTGTACTTTGCTTGGACAGAGTTTATCGTTTCGGTTCTTTAAGTCATTCAACATTGTTTTATATACATAATAAGAACAGGTAAAATTCAATATTACATTTGGCTCACTGAACTAGTTGAAATATTACCTGCTTAGACTTGGGCTTGGAGATCAGAGGCTTTATAACTGGAGACTTCTGTTTATTTGCAACCCGGCTGTTTGGTGCTGGGGTGTTCTTGGAGAACTTGCTCATATTATCTAGAATGTTACCCGAGTGAGCTGGTGAGTCTCTTTGGTTAGCGGATACCTAAAGTAACAAAAAGTTAGGAGCATTTTATTTTTTTCCACAATAGGGGGTCTTTTTTTCCCCAAAGAATTTCTGTTGTATGAAAATCTGACTTAAAAAAAAAATCAGATGAAGCAAAATTCTTACCTTGAAGGGATTGACTCGTCCTTGGCTGCTACATGTAATTACAGCTTTTGTTATAGGAAAGGGAAAAATATAACATATGAAAATCTGTAAAATATTGTATATGATAAGATTAAATTGAACATTTTTCATTTTATATCTTTATTTCAAAAAATTAAAGTATTCCAGCCTGTTAAATCAAAACTGAAAATTCTGCACTTTTAATTGAATGTTAGGAAAGAGGAGGAGAGACACATGAATAGATTCTGACAACAAACAACAATACTTTCTCGTTGGAATAAAATGAGATTTACTCACCAGATTTAGGAGTAGACATTTCAGATGATGATGCTACAATTTTGCTGAATGGATTTTGTCCTTCAAAATAAAAAAAATGCATTTTAAACTCAGAACAAAATCCTATTGAACTCATTTGTAACTTTCATCATTACTTTATATTTTAGTATTTGTATAAGTGCTTTAACAGACACATTTAATTTGTCTTATCCCTGCCTGGGATTCTCTTTTTTAAGAAAAAGGAAAGAGCTGTATATTACATTTACTTTGCTAAGCTAAGTTTTACTTTGCCAGTTTTATGGATAACCGTCACTTAGACCCTCTTTTTGATCAGAAACAACAGTATTTAAAAGAAGTCCCAAGAAGAAGTGTGCAACCGGACTTCCCTCCTCTGGGGAGGGGGAAGATTCCCCAGAGGAGGCACGTGCTGGAACTCCCTGTCCCCTGACCGTTGTCCCCACTGGCACCCCGGCCCCTGGCGCAGAATCCTGTGCCCTGCCACAGAACCCACTGGCACCCTGTCCCCTCCCCAAGCACCCAACCCCAGTACCATGTCCTCTGCTCCCACCACCACAGTTGGGGCCACATTAGTGAGGTTGGGGGAGGCACGGTTGGAGGAGTATTTTTTCGCATCTCACTTGTGTGGCCCCAACTGACTTTTCTGTGGGTCAGTGACCCAACTCAAAATAGGTTCCCCGCCCTTCTCATAAATAAAGACAATGTTGAAACTTTTTGTGTTTGACATAATATTTTATTTAAAAATGAAGCCTAGCCAACAAACCCCCGATTGGGGCTAAGCCCCCATCTGGCCGCAGCATTATAACGCTCCTGTACACCCCCCTCATCCCCCGAGCCTTAGATCTGAGCCTATCATAAACTGGAACCCCCTGTCCTAAACCTCTCACATCCCCAAACTCCTGCAGCCCCTCAGTCTTCTGCCACAACACTCCTGCACCATCCACACACTGTCCATCTTACTCCCAACCTCCCTGCCTTGAACCCCTCGCATACTCCAACCCAAACTCCTGCACCTTCACATCCACAAGCATGTGGCTTGCTCAGTACCCCAACCCTCCCATCCTGGAGCCCGAGCCAGAATTCCCTTCTCCACCTCCTCCTGCATCCAAATACCCTCCCAGACCTTGCACCTCTCATCCCTTCCCACACCCAAATCCCTCATTCCCATCCCAGAGCCCACATCCTGTCTCAACCCAGTGAGGGTATGGCTAGACTGCAGGAGTTTTTCCGGGATTCCAGACGTATTCCAGAAAAACTCTTGTGTCCGGGGATGCGTTTGTTCTTCCACTTTTTTTTAGCAGAACAGTAAATATGCTCTTTCGGTATCCCCTGTATTCCTCATTCCATGAAGAATAAGGGGGCTTCCGAAAGAAGGATTTTTTCCTGACATTTGGCCCAGTCTAGACAGAATTTTAAAAAAAAGCGGCAGTGTAGCCATATCCTGAGAGTGTATAAGGGTTGGGGATAGCAAGTGATGGAGATGAGGAGAACAGAGCATGGGGCTTCAAGGAGGGGGTGGGGTTTTGGGGGAAGGATGCGGTGGTAGATCTTGGCTTGTTCTGACATTTAAAAAGTGATCTTGGACGTAAAAAGGTTGGAGACCACTGTGCTAGACTGTAATTCAGTGATTATTTTCCTTCCATCGTAGAGTCCAAAACATTTATATTACTAAATATGTACTAAACACACAGAAGGCAGGACATAGAAACATCAGAAGGAGATATGGGCTAGAAAGTCTGCCTGTAGGTAACAGCAAAACTACAAGCTATAAACTTTTTTTTCTTTGGGTGACCCAGAAATTGGACATTATCATCCAGAGAGAAGGCACAGCAGAGTATGCCTGCACTCTGTTAATTCACAACGAATAGTTCTGCAGCACTTTAGAGATTAACAAATAATGTAGCTTTATTTATTTATTTATTTGATTAATGTATAAATGTATTTATTTAATGTATAAATAGTTTCATTTACAAATTTGACACGTGTAATCAAGGTTTGAACAAAGATCTGGCATGGAGAGCTTTTACATCCCCAATCCTAACATAAAACGCTAAGCACTAATAAGCACTAAGTACTAATAGAATACTTACAGCCCACTCTATGAGTCTCGTATAGCACAGATACTCTAATTGACAATA